ATAACAATTAATGAGGGATCTAGAAAATAAACATAGATCATACAAGGCTTTCACTAGAGAATAGGCATGTATAGAATTATAACCTTACAAACATGTTTTTGTAGCTGTTAGGACCTTTAATAAAACTTGTAACCACGTATTTTGGGCCTTACCTTATTGATACTAAGATTGGTACTATGGTCTAAGGGCTCTTAATGCAGGCAAATGTGCTAATTTATCATAGGTTCTCGAGTATTTTGTTCTAAAAGTGGTACAAGAACCTCTAGTTGATCTTACAGGACCAAAAAACTATAACCTACAATACAAATGGCATCCAATAACGTAAATTTAAATCCACCATTCACTTTCATGGTGAAAATCACCAAATTTTGTTTGTGTGAACTTTGGGAAAGTATGACGAAAGACAATCCACTTGATTCTATACTAGCAAATCCTACCTTGGATCAGATCAAATCCAACAACGAATAAAAGACAAAGAAATCTGAATCCAAGTCGCTTATGCATAATGTTGCATATTTTGTGTTTTATAGAATCATGGTTTGCAAAACTACAAGAGACATGGGATAAGTTGAAAGAAGAATATCAAGGCAGCGATAGAAACGTTAAATGTAAGTGTTGAACCCAAAAAGTGAGTTGTAGTCCTTAAATATGCAGGAGGATGAAACTATCAGTAAGTATGTTGATCAAATCTTCTTAATTGTTAATTACATTAGACTTCTTGGAGAAGAACATACAGAGAAATGAATTATGTAGAAAGTTCTTAAGGCTCTCTTGAAGAATTCAAATACCTGGAAAAAATTTCATTAGGTGAACTAATGAGTACTCTTCAAGAACAAGAGCAAAGGAGGAATATTAGAAGAGAAAAGTTCACTGAATGAGCTTTATTTGTACAAAAGCAAAACAGGAAAAGAACAATACAACCAAAAGAATAAGGGCAAGCATGATGGAGGAAACAATAGTGGAGATGTGAAGTAGTAGTTCCGTTCGTGCAAACAATGTAAGAGAAATACATATCTTTAGAAGTACTGTTGGTTGAGAGTCTATGTTATATGCGGAAACTTTAAGCAGACAGGACACATATCCATGGAATGAAAACCAAGAGCAAAGGCCTTTGGTGCATTGCAAGCACAAGTTACAAAAGCTGCAAATGCACATTAGGTGTAACTCTTTGTAGTTTCATACTTTTGAATTAATAAATCCTCTGATTCATGGCTTCTTAATAGTGGTTGCACACATCACTTCTGCAATGATGCTAGGTTATTAAAATTCCTCGATGATACTTATAAATATATAGTAAAAGTGGAAAACGGCGAGGCAGTAAAAGTCAACAACATAGGTATAGTGTCTATGTCAACAATATAAGGTATCAAAACTATTCCCGATGTTGTGCACACATATGATACGAGTAAAACTTTTTAAGTATTTGAGAGCTGCTTGAAAATAATTATTCTCTGCATTTTAAGAATCGTGAATGTGTTATTTCTGACCCTTATGGAGTAGAGTTATTTTATGTCAAGATGAACAACATTATGTTTTTAGTTGATTGGGAGAGAATAACTGAGCTGGCTTACACTATTACTTCACAAACATATATAAACCTATGGCACAAAAGGTTTGGTCACTTAATCTGAGAAACATCGTAAATAGGTACTAATGAAAAATATGCCTGAATATCTTTCTAATGCTCATGTTTGTGAAAGCTGCCAACAGGGAAAGAAAACAAAATTGACATTTCAAGAAAAGCAAGTGTTGAGAGCTAACCAGAAACTTCAACTCATTCATGCGGATGTTCCGGCCCAATGAAAACAAATTCACTGAGTGGTAACAAATACTTTCTCCTCTTTATTAATGATTACAACAGAATGTGTTGGGTTTATTTCATAAGACTGAAAAGTGAAGTCTTTGATATTTTAAAACAACTTAAAGCATTTGAAGAAAACCAATGTTATATTAGTATGAAGGCTTTAAGGTCTGGCAATGGAGGAGAATATACTTCTTCTCAATTTGTGGAGTTTTGTAATAGCACACGTACTTAAATCCAATCGACGTACCATATACTCCATAACAAAGGTGTGTCTAAAAGGAAGAACATGACAGTAATGGAGATTGCCAAATATCTTTTGCTCGAAAGAAAGATCCCAAATAAGTTTTGGGCGGAGGCAGTCAATACCTCTGTACATTATCTGAAACAGATTGCCTACTAAGGACTTACAAGACATGATCCATATGAATCTTGGTGTGGGAAAAAAACTTCAGTACAACATCGTAGAATTTTCGGGTGTATATGTTATTGTCGAATTCTAGAAAGAAAGAGGAGTAAGCTTGACAACAAGGCTCATAAAGGCATACTTATGGGCTATAGTTCATCTAAAGGTTATAAGATTTTCTGTTTGAAATTAGAAAAACTAATTCTCAGTTGAAAAGTGAAGTTTGATGAAACAACTGGTTGGGATTGAAAAAATCAGAAGAACTCTTATTTTTATTAGTTTTCAAAAGATCATCCCGATCTTTCAGAAGATGAACTAGTGGATGATGGACCAATGAGGGGAACTCGATCATGAAAAGTTGTCTATGAACGGAGTAAATTCATTACCTTTGAACCAACAACCTATATTGAAGAACAAGAATCTCAAGCATGGAGGAGATCTATTAAACATGAACTAGACATGTTAGAGAAGAATGAAAACTAGCATCTTGTTGACAAACCTAGAATTCGAAAGGTGATAGATTTAAAATGGATTTTCAAGACAAAACTCAATCCTAATGGAACAATTTACAAAGATAAGGCTAGATTGGTGGTGAAGGGATACACACAACAATATAGCATGGATTACCAGGTAAGACATGCTCTTGTAGCAAGGTATGACAAAATCAAGCTTAATCTTGCATTTGCATCTCATAGTTCCTGGAAGATTCATCAACTTGATGATAAATTGTCTTTCCTTAATAGTTTTCTTCCTGAAGAGATCTGTGTAGAGAATCCTCATTGTTTCGCAACTCCTAGAAAAGTGGATCATGTTTATCTCTTAAACAAGGCCTTGTGGCCTAAAATAAGCCCCAAGGGCATGGTATGAATGGATGGACAATTATCTAATACAACTTGGTTTTATTAGAAGTCAAAGCAAAGCTACTTTGTCTGTGCAAGTCACTGCAAGTGAGTCCTTAATTATCTCAATTTATGTGGATGACATGCTTGTAGCTGGAAGCAAAATTGAACTAATCCAAAGGTTCAAGGATGAAATGGAGAAAATCATTGAATGTACTGATCTAGGAGTCATGAAGTACTTTCTTTGCATGGAAGTGTTGCAGTTTAGTGATGAAATTTTCATATGCCAGCAGACATACATTTCGGATATTTTAAACAGGCAAAATGCAAGAGTGCAAACCTGTGAGCACACCAAGATAATCTGTTACAATAATTGAGCAGTTTTGATCTAAAAAATATAGTGCTTCATGGTCGAACTAAGCACATCAAGATTAAGTTTAATTTTATTAGAGAAGTCCACCAATCTAATGAATTGTTGCTTGTTCATTGTTCATCTAAGAACCAACGAACTGACATTTTCACAGTCATTGCAAAAGGAAAGGTTTTAAGATCTATGTCAAAGAATTGGTGTTTACCACAAAAATGCCAAGGAGGATTGTTAGACATTTGACATTTTTCCAGTTTATCACTTTTACTGTTTTATTACTTAATTTTAGTTTGGTGCTTTTAATTTTTTAGCTAGACTTAGTCAACTTTTGTTGCTCCACTTTCTGAAGTTAGTGGCCAAATTTATGGTTGTTAGTGGACCATTTTATGGTAGTTAGTGACACATCTTCTTATATAATTTTAACATCCACTTTGTAAAGTGACTACAATATAGGAAATGGTTATGTTTTCTCCTTGTATAAATTCAGACCTTCTATAAATTAATACATAGCTAGAATTTCATAAGTTCATTTTTATTCTTCAAATCGGTTTTTTGAGTATTTTTGTTCTAACAGCTAATATAAAGGACGCTATCCAAAGGACGACATAGAGTCCAACTCCAAGGACATACATCAAGCAAATGAGCTTATAAAAAATCGACACCACGAGTCCAAAAGCTACTTGTGCTACCTCGGATCTATACCAACCACCTAATATGAGGGAAACCAGGTAAACAGTAGCGTATTAACATATTAAACTGATCGATAGGGGCTTTGCGGTACCAACTTCTAATAATGAACACCGCAAGACACTAAGATTTACAAAGCAAACCACGTATCCTAAATTATAACCAACTCATCGATTCCATGATTTCCTTGACCCCATCTTGAATTTGAACCTTCTTAGCAAATTTCCATTTCCTAGCAGAGCTAAAAATTGAAACCACCAGCGAACACCACCATTCAAAAACTGAATAATACACTAGACTCAAGCGATATTACACAACAATAAAGAACCAACATAACAACTAATCCATGCGCAACAAGGGATCACACCTCAAACTTCCATCTAGACATAACCAAACCCCAAGACCACAAGAAGAGAAGAATCCAAATGTAGCTGAATGAGAAAAAATACAACTCCATAATCGAGAAAAGACTAAGGCGTAAAACACTAAAAAATGTCAACTACCAAACAAAACTCTAATAGCTAGCAATATCACCACTACTACTCAAAAGAGATGACACACAACTAAGACAACTAGGCTCTACAACACACAAAACACAAATATGGCAAAGCTAATCTAGCCACCCATTAAACAAGAACATCACTACAAAAAAACACCACAAGGGTGGAAACAAGGGAAACCAACATTCCCAACACCCACACTAAACCAAAGGTTTTTACCTAATCAAAAGAAGATAGAATAAGAAGACTCAAGCTAAAGACACAGAAAATACAATCCAAAATTACAGAACATACATACTAGGCATTATTTAAGAAGATCAATCAAAAAAATCGATGAAAGCCTACCTCAAAGACAATCACGAGTGCTCCAAATCAACCACACACGATCTATCCATTTTTAAAACTTCTTCGAACACCCCCACTCTATATATTGTCAATCACAACGCCATTGTGGATGTCTAGACAGTAAAATTGCAACAATTGGAAACATATATAAAATTTAATCAAAATAAGAATATGGGGAATCCGCTAGAAATCTAAAAATAGACTCTGCCAAAACGTTCTAAAAGACTTACCGAGATTGTACCAATGATTCGGGAAAAAAGATTTTCCTTTTCTTAAAACAAAAAAAAATACATCCCCTTCTTAGGACGAGTTCTGTATTTATATATTTTGTATATAATTGTATATAAGTATTTTCTATATAATCTATAAGAGAAGTTTTTTCCCTTTACTATTATATGTTAAATGAGACCAAAAAGAAGAAATGCATTGGGTCCATGAATCTAAGAAATGGTGAGAATTCTTGATCTCTCAGTTCGAAAATCCATGATTTGAATTGATTTCCTCTCATTGATTCCTCCTAAATTGCATTGATTCCTCCTATATGAATAATTACCTAAGAAAGAGAAATATTCTAGATAGAGAAAGAAATCTCGGTATAAAATATTTTGATTGGAAAATTATCCATTTTTCTATTAGATAAACAGCCTGGGCTAAGATCGATACCAACAATAATCCAAATACTAAAATTGGTAGTAATAATTATCAAATATTTCATAAAATTGACAAAAGGGTTTTTTATTTGACAACTCACCAATATTTAGAAAAAACTAAAAAAAATCGAAAAAGCCTTTTTTGATTGGATAGGAATGAAATCGTGAATTATACCAAGCAAATTCGTTCTTTTTAGTTTGAATACAAATGAAACTGTTAGTCAAAATAAAAACAAAAAATAAAACTTTTTTCTACCATCAAATAAAAAATAAAAATAAAGAATCGAAGTCAAGAAGCAAAAGAACACCCAAGTCAAAGAGAGAGTGGATCAGATATAGAAAAAAAAGGAAATTTGAGACCTGTGTTTTCAAAATATCAAAGCGATCTTGAAAAAGATTAGATGGAATCAGACACAAAAAGGGTGAAAATGATGGCGGCTCAAGATCAGCCTCATGAAAACCTTAAATTCCATGTGGAGGTTCTACCACGTGGAAACGCTCTTGAATAGAAATTTAGCCTTAGATGGTCGTGACCAAGAAGCCACAGCTTCCGCTTTGTGGGTCGGGAATGACCGACTTATCAATCTATCCGGTAAACTACTAGGGGCTCATGTAGCCCATGCTGGATTAGTTGTATTTTGGGCCGGAGCAATGAACCTATTTGAAGTGGCCCATTTCCTACCCGAGAAGCCTATGTATGTAAAAGGATTGATTTTACTTCCCCACCTAGCTACTCTAGGTTGGGGGTAGGACCTGGGGGATAAGATATAGACATTACCCAAATCGAGGCTCATTTCCATGCCTAAAACAGCCGGAACAACCACATGCAAATAAAACACCAACCGAAGAAAACAAAAGAGAGATGGTAGACCCTTCGAGTAGAATATACCGCAAACAGAGAGCCTGCAACACTTCCCTAAAACTCTAACGTGTAGCAACAACCAACACAGACCCCCAACAATTTGAATTGCCTCAATCAGAGCTCCCAAGCTCAAGATACCACATTTTGAAGTTGAGTGCTAAATTTCACAATTTAAATAACAGAGGTTTTGGTTGCTATAAATCATTTCTGGTTGCTAAAGGCCTAAAATCCGGTTTCTAGAATCCTACACCAATTATCAACATATCGCAAAAATAATTTGGGTACGAACTTTATGAGAAATAAAATAAGCGAATTAAAAATTACTAACCTTTTTCAGTAATTCGACAACTTACTCTAAATGGAAGATGATGAAAAGAGGGAATTCTTTCAGTTAAGTCCTAAAATTTCGTAAGTTGGGGAGAGGGAATATAGCCCTATGAAAATGAAGAAGAGAAAGATCAAAGGAATTTCTCCGGCTTATTCTGAAATAGTTTTTGAATAATGTTCTAATTAATCCATATTGTGTTGATAAAACCTAAAAAGATGGTGTCGAATATTGTCTTTTATACATATTTTAACTTTATTTCTCTTTTATTCCCTTTTTTTTGTCATTTACATATTGTGAAAGGTAGTATAACTTAATAATACAACATAACTGAACTTAATTAACGTAATACATAACATACTAAATAAAACAAAAAGCAATGGAAAAACTAAATATCTAACTAAAGAAAATATAAAATGTATAATAAACTCACAAAAAAAACATTAAAATAATTCATTTAATGTTCTAATTGTTATACACTCCCTCATCCCAATTTTTACTAGACACTTTTTTATTTTTTTCAGAGTAAAATTTTTTACGTTTAACCAAGAATTTGTGCATAAAATATTTAATTTTTTATAAATAAAAGTTAAGTATTTATAAACTAACTAAATAATATTATAAGTAACAATAATTGACAATACAAAATATATATAAAAAATTCACAGTCAATTATAGACTTGTTTAAATCTCGATATCTGAAAGGTCACATAAATTGAGACGGAGGGGTGTCTTTTATTAGATAATATGTAAAATATAATTTTAAGTTTCTAATTTTATTTATTTAAATTCAAAACTTCTAATACTATGTAAATAGAAGATAGTCATGTGCATTTATTTTGTAAAAAATAATTACATTTCCTTTCAAATATGCATAACTAAATTTGTAAGTCAGACACACGATATTAGTAACCCCTAATTTATTTGCACTTAATGAAAATTTTAATTTTGAACTATTCATATATTAATCATCAAGCATGCGTTTAATATGAAAGAAAACATTTTCTGAAAAATATTTTCTAATTTTATCATGTTTGGTTGGCATAAATATTTTGAAAAATATTTTCCAAATAACTCATTTTTCTCAAATTTAAGAAAAATAACTTACCTGAAAAAATAAGAAAAATGTCACACCCCGAGGCTACACTCTGAATGTGGTCGGGACTCGAGAACCATTACTAGTCCCCAAGCAAACTGTTGACCTGGTTCACTACTCAGCAAAAGATTACTCAACAAAACAAGAATTTAAGTTCGAAGATTTAACTAATAAGGTCTCAACAACAACTTATCTCAAAGTATGTTAAGAAATACTCAAAATAACATAAGAAAGCAACACAAAGTCTCAAAACATCACAAGGAAAATAGTGAAATACTCCTCAACGACTAATGACTATGAAACTTCTAAATACTACGATAGATGTAGGGACAAGATCCACGGCATTTTAACAAAACTGAAACATAAATGTGGAACCCCCGAAAAGAAAGGAGGCTTACCAAAGCTAACTTGAGTGCAAATGGTATCAAATGAGAGCCAGTTGATGACTCTGAATCCCTTGATGTGATGTAAATGTATGAGTATGCAAGGGGAAAAGGAAAATAATAGTTATCTGAATTGACAAGGACGAAATAAATAATCAAATTAATATGAAGCCGCAATTAGAGATACCACCAATCACTTGATAAAGTTTGGGGAAAAGTACCACCCGCTAAGTCCAAAGCGAGAAAGCATAAGGCTCGTTACGCTGCAGAGGATATTTCTCTTCACCCAATACTAGAGGCACAAACAGAAAAGGAAGCTCACAAATAGTCCAGAATGTTGGACAAGGAACGTGCAACCCACGAAAAAGAACAACAAGAAGCCATGTTAGCTAGGCATATGGGAGTGGAGCACCTGCCCACACTGAAGGTGCAACACCAACCACTATGGTGTCTGATGTACTCACTTCACTACTCAGTTCTGAGCAGGCATTTTCTTATAAGGTTTCCATTGCTAATCAAAAGAACGGTGCCTAGGGCGTTGTAGGTATGGCCCCTCCTCATAGTCTTTTATGGTTATAACTATATATCCACTTTGAGGTCAAATTCCTTTCTTGTGGGGAGGGAGTGGTTGAGAAACCTTCCATATATGTTAGAAAATGGAGTTTCTCTTCATCTGTTTAACTTTTTTTATTATATCAATTACGTTTAAATATGCAGCTGCCAATCAGTAAATAAAATGAACAACTGATTCTTAACATGGGTTGGATGGTTAGGATATTTATATGACATTCTAAATACTAACTTATTGAACAATGCAGAGTTTGAATGATAAATTGGTGAACTAAGAAACTTGATAATGTAATCATGTGTAGGTGTGTGTGAGTTTTGATTAATGTCTATCACTACGAGCGGAAACTAGAACTTACCCGAGTAGTCTTGCTTTATATGGAGGAGTATTAGATAGGAAAGGATCAATAGGCTATGTTTGTAATATTTTAGTGAAAGCCGAAACAAAAAGACCCAAACAAAAATCTTACCATTTGAACCCGTTTTGAGCCTGGAATAAATCTTTATTCTCGCCCAAAATAGTTCACAACATTGGTTTACCCAAGAGTACATTCTCAAATCTCGGAATAAAAGCCTAAGTTGAGGATGAGTGCAACCCGAAAAGGTAAAAGATAGTTCAACCAGCAAGATGAAATGCAAAGTGATGTATCAAAAAAAGAAAAAAATATATGGTGTGGCTGCTTGGATGAAAGAATGAAAGAAAATAAAAATCCAGTTAGAAGAGGAATTGTGAAAACAAAACTTTGGGAAACTAATGGATTAGTCACTCACGAAATCGGACATCCAGATATGCTTTCCTTATCTTCGAGCCTATGTTCAAGCCAATAAAACCCCTGCAGTGATCCTATTTCAATTTTCTAAAAGATAGAGCATAGTAAACGAGGTCAAGTATATGTTAGTTGTTGTTAGTGCTAGCAATCCTTTGAGAGTGTGAGCGTAGTTCTTAGTCCTAACCATTCTGAGCGAGGAACTTGTTTGGTGTGATTTGTTGCTTTTTAGAGTGGATTAGGTAAGCTGATAATTCAAAGACATAGGCATCATTGAATGTAAGTAATGAGATGTCATATATAGATCCTTACATGTTAGATTCAGAGAATTGCGATAAAAAATATCCTAAAAATAGTTGATGTAGAGTGTAAACAGTATGAAAAGGTTTTCAGAAGTAGGTGTATTGTTGGTGTCATCACTTGAGGACAAGTAATGGTTCTATGTTGAGGGTGTTGATGTACCATGATATCCTGGTACATTTAACACTTAGAAACAAGGATCTAATACTAGAATCAGGTGTATTTTGTATGATTTGATATGTTTGTTTATTATGTACGAAGCGTTAGGCAGATATTGAAAAAAGAAGGAAAAAAGTGAAAATCACAACCATTTTGACGGTGTGTAGTCCACTGCACGGACCGTGAGGTTGACAGTGAAATGTGATTGCAGTGGCTAGATTATGAAGACCCACATTTGAGAGAGTTTAATTGAAGACCACAGACAACTTCACGGACCTTGAACCCTTTGACGGTCCGTTGTCTAGATCATGAATTAGATTCTAGAGAGCAAGGTGAGATTCCAGATTTATATATTTTTGAAATGAAGACAACGAACAACTTCATAGACGGTGATCACTTTGACGGTTGTGGTTCGGCTCGTGAATAAGATTCCAGATAGCTGGTTGAAAGTCTAGGTTTTGGGAAAGTTAAAGGAAAGACCACGGACAACTTCACGGACCATGGTATTTTTTATGGTCTGTGATCTAGTCCGTCATGCTGAATCCTGAAGCTAATGATAAGACCCAATCAGGGGATGCTCTAAGGAAAGACCACGAAGGTATTAACGGATCGTAAATCCTTTCACGGGTCATGATGATGGTCGTGAAAGAGGTCGACAATGCAGTCTTAGTTTTATTAGATATCTCTTTAAAACATCAATTGGGATTTATTTAGGTTGTTTTAAGGGTATTATTTTTATTATTGAAATTTTACAAAGGAGGAGAATAGAGAACTCTATAGTTTCTTGGTTTCTAAGTTTCAAATTACTTTGTAAAAGAGGAAGTTTGGTTATTTGATTATCAACGTGGTTTTTGAGTTGCAAGTTGACTTCGTAAGTATTTAGAACTATGTGCTCATTTTATATTAATTGCTTTATACGTGAAATTATGAGGCACTAAACATTTTGAACAGGTGTGTGGGATCTATGATGACATTATGAATCTAATAGAGCAGTCTATGTTTACATGCTGTAGGTTAAAGCTTTTGATCATAATTTAGTCTAAGTAGTGCAACCTTTAGAAGAGCCTGTATTAAGTGTTTTTTCGAGAGAGAAACACTTGTTAGGAAAAATGTAGAATCTGCTTATGAAATTGATGTTAAAGCTGGAGTTCAAGAGAAGATAACTTTCACTTCATGCCAATATTAGCAAGTTCTTAGTGCAAGAATCATTTATAGTTAGAGAGAATATAAATGATCATCGTCTAGCAATGCTAAGAAGCGTTAGATAAATCTTATTCCTGAGTTTTGTTGACTTCTTATTTCTTGAAACTCAAATTGCAGAAGAGTTTCATAGTTGTCTTCATAGTGAACACTGACCTAGTTTCTCTTAATTAACTGACCAACTCACACATCGTTATAGCTTATGCATCAGACCTATTAACTTTAGTCTTATGTTTTAGTAATTTCTACTGGCCATTCATACCCAATTTTACTTTCTGTCTATATTCATTAGTAGATAGTAACTCCAATTGGATAAAGGTGACAGTAAAACATAATATGTAAAGGAATTCTCTATGGGATCAA